CTGGCAGTGTTGAAGGGCAGGTTGGATGGGGCTTGGAGCAGCCTGGGCTGGTGGGAGGTGTCCCTGCCCATGCAGGGAGGTGGGACTGGATGATCTTTAACATCCCCTCCAACCCAAGCCAGTATGATATGATCCTAAGTCCTCCTCAAAGTCCAGGCACTTCCCATCTCCCCATTCCATTTCACTGGGGTGGGCTGTAGCCCTGTGATGCTGGTCCCATGGCATCATGCACTGTCCATGCAGGCCCTGGAGCTCCTGGGGGAGGTTTTCTACCCCAGCCCATGCAAGGAGCACACGCAGCCAGCAGGGGCAAGGCTGGCTCTTGGCTGCACCCCCATGGGTGGGTGGGCTTGATGCCAGGGCTGGCAGGAGCTCCCAGGGCACCTCAAGCCCAGGGAAGCTCAGATCCTGGTGTACTGGGCTCTCATCCCCCTGCTCCGTGATGCCAGCAGTGCTCCAGCACAGGCAGGGGTGGGAAACCCTTGGTAGGTGTCTCTGACCCTCAGGGGGAAGGGGAGGTGGTTGGGAGGCTGATCTCCAGCAGCACCTTTCTCCTGCCTGGCAGAAGGGCTCCATGACCTTCCCCTGGGGCCGTGTCCTGCCCTCTCCTCCCACCTCAGAGGGCACTTGGACACCAGCCAGGGCCTCTTAGAGCAGACAGGGTTTGGGGTCTCTCCTTGCCAGGTCAGTGGGACCTCCCCTGTCCTATGGGTGCTCCTTGAAAGCAGGAGGAGACGAGACTGCCCGTGGGAACAGGCTCCTGCTCTTGCCTGAGGCTTGAAAGGGTGTTTGTTTCTAAAGAAATTGCACTCATGACATCAGACTCAAGGCCTGGGTGCTCACAGTGATTGTCTCCCTGGCCCACCCATCAAGGTGGCACCTTGCCCAGGTGCCTGGCTGTGCCCCATCTCCTCTGAGAGCTGCCAGGGTGCTGGGTGTGTTGAGCAACACAAAGGTGTGGAGGTTCCTGGGCAGGAGCTTCCCTTGGGTTCCTCCCAGCGTGGCCTTCAGCCCCTCTGGGAGGTACTTCCACCTCAAGGGTGGCTGCTTCGTTAAAAAGCTCCAGCAGGCAGCTCAGGAATGTCTGAGGAACGAGCAGCAAGGTGGGGAGGTCAAGGGCACTGTGGAAGTCTTGGAAAACCCCAGGGTATAAATAGGACATTCCTCTTGCTCCATGTCCTGTGCCAGGACCTGGCAGAGCTGCTGGGCTGGGTCAGGGCTCCAGGTGCTGTGAGGACCTGCAGGTTGCTGGGGTGGCTCTGAGAAGCTGGCAGAGCCTCCAGAGGGGCTTTGGCATCCCCAGCTCTGCCTCAGAAGTTGGGGATGTCACAAGACCCAGGGCAGGTCCTTGTCCTCATCCTCAGGCAGGTTCAGCTGGGATGTGACATTTGGGTTGTTCTGCTTTTTAATTTTATGTCCTTATGACCTTTTCTTTTGCCCTCCCTGGGGGGATGTGGTGCTCAGAGGCAGGTCCCACAGTGACAGCAGGGGCTGGTGGCCCTCCTGGGCAAGGGGCTGGGCTGGGCTGGGCTCCCAGGTGTGGATCATTCACCTGAAACACCAACAAGGAGTGACAGTGGTGAGAATGGTGGAGCCAGGGAATGGTGTCCCTGAGCACCCTCATGACCTGGCCAAGCCCCAGAGCTGAGATATCCAGACCCAGATCTCACTCCCTGTCCCCTCCCTGCCCAACCCAGAAATTTGGCTCATACCTGCCTGTCCCAAATATTTCCCAGGGTTGGGTGATGCCTCTTGGCTGCTTCCCCTGGGCCAGGAAGGTGTGTGAGGATGGGACAGCTGTGCTGGGGCTCCTGGGATACTGGTGACCATGAGCTGAGGGTCCCCTGGACACATGTCAGAGCTCAGCCTGGGTTTGATTTCCTCACCAAACCCCATGGCTTCATCTGCCTTGGGTCAGCTGGTTTGTAAGGGTTGATTCTCCTTGGATGAGCCACGTGGATGAGATGCTGATCTCCTGGGGCTGGCACCACCTTTCTGTCCCCATCCCTGCTGGTGGCCTTGATTGGGGTTCTCATCCTTCCCCGCTGTCCCCTTGCCCTGCAGGGCTTCATGCCTTCTTCTCCCCCTTCCCAGGCCCTTGGAAAGCAGGAGGGAGCAGCAAGGTGCCCTCAGCCTGTTTGCTGAGCCACACTGCTCTCAGAGCTCCTCACCACCCACAGGAGTGTGGGGCTGGGGAGGGGAAGGGCTTGGGGAAGGCAGGGGGGTTCCTGCAACCAGGAGATGAGCAGGTAGAGGAGAAGGTTTTGCAGAAGGGTCCTGGTTCTGGGACCTGGCTGGTTCCTCCTGGTGGCCACTGTGGTGGGTAATGGGTGGCAGAAGAGGCAGCTCCTGCCCTCACGAGAGCTCTCAGCTCTTGTTTGTGTTCCTGGGGTCATAAAAATTCTTGGGACAAATTCTTGGCTGGCTCAGGCAGCCTGTGTTTGGGGTGGTGTAAATGCTGCTGGCGTGTGGGCCAGAAGGTGCTGGAGGGGGGGGCTGCTCAGCTGGGGGGGCTCGAGGTGCCCTCAGCCTGTTCCTGTCACTGCTCCTCCATGAAGTTCAGAGCTTTTAAGCATCATCTGGGCCTGGGCTACCTGGGATGGCTTCTTGGTTTGTTTGTTTTTTTCCTCTTCCACGTCCCATCTGGAGACCATGCAAGGGCAGGGCTTGGCTCCTTCCATCTGCAGCTTGTCCCTGACCCCCACCCTGGCAGGACCTGCTGGTTGGTGGCCACCACCAGGAAGTACCACACGTGCTCCTGCCTGCCCCAAGCTGGGAAAAATCTCAGTGGGTGAAGTTGGGAAGAGGTTGCTGGAGGGCTCTGCTCCAACCTGCTGCTTCAGCCAAGCGAGCTCCTTGTCGCTCAGCTGAGCTTGGTCTGTCTCCCAGGAAGGAGGAGCCAGGGATGGACCTGTGGCCAGAGAACATCACTACGTGCTTGGGCAGCCACCCAGAGGTTTCCTAGGGCCCTGCATGTGGTACCCCCCAGAGCTGTCCCCCAGGTGCAGCTCCAGAAACCCAGGCACCAACATAGAGGGGATAATCCAGTGGAGGACTTGGAGAACCTCAGCACAGAGAACAGCACCCAAACCACCACGAATGGACCTTGCTGAGCTCCCCACGCCAGGCTGTGGCCGTGGGATGGAGGGGTACCCACTCCCTGCCCCCCCTGTGCTACCCACCCTGTGTTTCCCCCCCACAGGTCCCCCTGGAGGACCATGTCATCTACTCGGGCAACCTCTTCCAGTACATCGAGGAGAACAAGAAGTGGAGGAACCGCTTCTGTGTGGTCCCACACAACTACGGCTTGGTCCTCTACGAGAACAAACTGGTGAGGGGCAACAACACCCTTCTGCCCATCTCTTGGTGGGCACAGCTCCAAAAGGGGGACACCCCATGCCATGGTGCTCCCCATCACCCGGGACTGTCTATTTTTTTCTGCTCAGGCTTATGAGCGGGACCTGCAGCCCCGTGTGCTGATCAACAGTGCTGGCTACAAGGTCCTCACCTCTGTGGAGCAGTACCTGGAGCTGGTGAACAGCAGCCTGCCTGGTGAGTGGTCCTGGTGGCTGCAGAGGGGTGCTTGGAGCCTCCTGCACCCCTGCATCCCTTCTGGAAGGGATGTTTTTTGTGGTGTAGCATCCTTGTGGGCCTTCCAGAAGGGATGGTTTTGAGGTGTAGCATCCATAGGGACCTTTTCAAAGGGGTGTTTTTGAGGTGTAGCAGCCCTGGGGACCTTCTGGTAGGGGTGGTTATGAGGTGTAACATCCATGGGGACCTTCTGGAAGGGATGGTTTGGGGTGTGGGATTGTAAGGGAGGGACCCAGCCCCATTCCCTGTGCGGTGTTGGGTGCAGTGTGAGGGTTCTGCTGCTCAGCTCCTGCCACAGCCACTGGGCAAGGAAGGAAAATGTGTCTGTGGCTCCGTGAGAGCTGCCCCAAACTGCTGCCACCTCCCTTTCCCAGGAGCACTGGGAGAAGGCAGAAGCTCCTGCTCCTCCATCCAGACCCCCATGGGTCCCTAAAGGCCAGGGCAGCCCCCAGGGAGCAGGGCAGGGGCTGCTGGAACAGCTCACATAGGGCACCAGCCATGGACACCGTGGCAGCAGGGCCAGGCCAGCAGCTCTGGAGAGGCTTTCACACTGGAAATAATGAATTATTGTTACATTTTCATGTTTCCCTTCTGATTTCCCTTTTTGGGAAGCACGAAGCTCTTAGCACCTTTTATTTGTTTGGCCCCACATTTTTGGTTGAGGCAGCAGGAAGGAGGGGAGGGAGGGTCTGCTGTGCACCCTCAGCCCTGAATGCTGGGGGAAACGGACACCCCCAACCCTGCAGCACCCCCACCCCGTGTCCTGCTCCATCTGCACCTCAACACCTCCTTCCCCTCACCCTGCAGGTGTGACCCCCAAGTCGGGACAGTCCCCCATCCTGAAGTGCCCCACGGATTTCCCCCTCATCCTCTGGCACCCCTATGCCCGCCACTACTACTTCTGTGTGATGACAGGGAAGGAGCAGGAGAAGTGGAAAGCAGTTTTCCAGGACTGTGTCCGGCACTGCAACAACGGTGAGCTATTCTGGGGGGGGTCCCAGGGGGGGTTCTGGGGTGGGGACAGCAACGTTCTGCTCCAGAGAGGAGGGTGTCGAGGACCCTGCGGTGGCTGAGTTGGGTTTTGGGCCATAGAGGATGATTTGGAGGTCAAGAGGGGGATTTGGTGGGGAGGTGTGGGGCAGGATTGAGCTTCTTGTCAGTCTGAGGGAGGTGGTGTGAGCAGGAGGGATCCAGCCCCCCAGGGGGTCCCCATGCTGGCTCCATCCTGCTGCTCATAAGGAGCACGGGTGCCTGGGCAGGACAGGGAGCACAGAGCTTGGCTCAGGAGATGTCCTGCTGCCTGTTGTACACCCTGAGTCCAGAGGAGGCCATGAAGGTGATCCCAGGGCTGGAGCAGCTCTGCTCTGGAGCCAGGCTGGGAGAGTTGGGGTGTTCAGCCTGGAGAAGAGAAGGCTCCAGGGAGACCTTAGAGCAGCTTCCAGTGCCTGAAGGGGCTCCAGGAAAGCTGGGGAGGGGCTTGGGACAAGGGCAGGGAGGGAGAGGATGAATGGGAATGGTTTTAAGCTGGAAGAGGAGAGATTTAAGTGAGATATTAGGAGGAAATTCTTCCCTGTGAGGGTGGTGAGAGCCTGGCCCAGGTTGCCCAGGGAAGCTGTGGCTGCCCCATCCCTGGCAGTGTTGAAGGGCAGGTTGGATGGGGCTTGGAGCAGCCTGGGCTGGTGGGAGGTGTCCCTGCCCATGCAGGGGGTGGGACTGGATCATCTTGAAGATTCCTTCTAACCCAGAGTATCCTGTGAGTCTATAAAAATGTTTGGCAATTCAAGTCAGCAAAACATCAAGTCCCTTGTCCTGCTCCTGGCTCTGAGAGCAAGGGCAGCCAGGGCTGTGAGGGGTGGGGGTGGAGGCAGGACCTGGTTCCCACGTCAGCCACATTCTGGCAGGAAAACACGATTTTCCTGCTTGGCCATGGCCTGTGTGCTCCTGGGCTGAGCCCCAGGTCCCTTTGGTGCCTTGGGAGGTGAGAAGTTTCCTGGGGAAGGAGGTTCCAGTGCTGAAACCTGCTCAAAATCGGTTCTTGCAGAGGTTGCAGAGGGATGTTGGCTGGTCTTTAGGTGTTTCTCTCACTCCTGAGAGCTCCATGTAGCCCTGATTTTGCTGGAGCTGCTTGTTTTAGGGAGCAGAGTAACTGGGCTGGATCCAGAGCTGGGTTTTCGTGGAGGTTTCTGTCATCCCAGGGTAATTCAATCCTCTGCACACTTTGCTCTTCCCCTTCCTTTCTGTGCCCCTCACTGCAGAACATGTGCTGTCAGTGAGCTGGGAATGCTGCAGCTCACTGGGATGAGCCTCTTCCTGCAGCCCAGTGGGGTCTGGGCTCCTCTGGAGGGGAGTGGGTGCAGAGACCACCCCCCAGCCACTCACCCCCTGGGTGTGCAGCCCAGCACCCTGGGACACCCCCAAACCAATGTGAGCAAAACCAGCTCCTGGTAGAAAAGGAATCAATCTCTCTCTCAAAAAAAAACCCCAAACCCACCCAATTTATTTATCTTGAATTCCCTGCCTGGCTGGGAGGTGCTGCTGTGGGAGAGAGGAGGGTCATGAGCCACCCCCACCAGTCAGGGCTGGGACATCCAGTCTTCTCCTCCTTCTCCTCTTCCTCCTCAGCATGGGATGAAGGTTCTCACCTCACAGCCTGTGAGATAGTTCTTCCCCCCCCTCCCCAGCACCATCCCTGCCCCTCACTGCTCCTGTGAGCTCCCAGATACTGTTTCAGATTCCACCAAAGCTCTTTTGTTGTTGTCCAGCAATTTAGTTGTTTTTCCCTTCCCCTCAATTAGAGGTTCTGTCTCTGCTCTGGGTTGTGATCAGTGTGGGAACTTTTCCCCTCCCTTTTTAAGGCTGTGTTTATGTAACAGCAGCTCTTCTGTAAGAAGCAGGGATGTGGAAGATCATTCCTCACACAGGAGGTGTCCAGCCTGTTTCCCTGGAGCCCTTGGCTGCTCTGGGAATGTCCCTTGCCCTGGCTGGTGGCACACAGGGCTGGAGCAGTGCCCACCCTGCTGGCTCTTGCCCTATCTTGGGGCCAGCCTGCCCTGTTCTGCTGTGTTTTGTGCAAAAAGCAGCTTCAAACTGACTTTTCTTCCTCAGCAGCATTTTCCTGTGCCAAAAAAGGGGTGGATTTTGGAGAAGTGGAGGTGCAGCATCTCTCTCTGGTGTCACCTGGTGCACCATCATCCCAGGAGCCTTTCCAGGATAGGCTCCAGGCTTGGGCAGTTGCTTCACATCCCCAACAAGAGGAGCTCAGATCAGTGCTTAATTAGCTGCATGTGAATGAAGCAAGCTCATTAAATTTGCCCTGTGAACTAGCAAGGTGGCTTCTTGCAACCAGCCCTGCCTGGACAGGGCTCAGGGCTGGGGCAGCATCTGCTGGGGACACACGAGCCTGGTGGAGCAGATCCAGGTGACTTCTCCAGGGGGACAAATCCTGCCCTGCTCTCTGCATGACTTGGAGGATGAAGTTTGGCTGTGGCCTTGACCAGGCTGTCCCACCCAGGAGAGGATGTGGAGCTGCCAGGAGATGTGCTGGCCCCTGCAAGCTCAGCCCTGTGCTGGCTCCTACTCCCACCCAGTGCTGAGAAAGGGTCAGAATTTCCTTTCTCAACATGTTTTGTTTTGGTTTGGTTTGGTTTTTTTCCCCTGACCCTTAGGAAAAGCTGCTGAGACTTGGAGTTAAGTGTAATCATCTTAGAAAAATCTGTGTGCATTGGAAAAGGTCTGCTCATCACCCCTGTCCTGGGAAGGGAGAAGCCACCCCAGGACAAGGGTGGCCAAAGGACCTGCCAGGACTTTCCACTGCCATCTCTGGGGGGATGGTCTCTGGGAGCAGGGGGGCTCTGCCAGGGGACCCTTTTGCCACAGGGCACAGCCAGCTTGGGCTCAGCCCCATCCCACCTCCCTCTTGCAGGGGGCTTGGGGTGGGGGGGATGCTCCCAGGACACTTTCTCCCTGGCTGGTGGGTGTTGCCACAGCCAGACCCCTGGAGAGGGCAGGGATGTGTGTGGGACATGTCCTGCCATCAGCTGTCCTGCTCCCATCTCCTCCTCCTCTGGGCACCCTGCCCCTCCTCTTCATGGGTGCTGTAAGGGGCTGGGGGTGTTGTGTGACCCCCTCTTGGTGCTGGTGGCTCCAGGACACCTTGGGGGGCAGCTGAACCAGCTGGGGGCTGCTGGGGGGGCAGCAGCCCCACTGTGGATGGGTGTGCAGGATGCTCCTGGCTGCCCTGAGGGTCAATCCCCACCCCGGGGGGTTTCCCAGGAGCCTGCCCACTGCCATCCCATCCACCACTGTCTCCCCCCTCCCCCAAAATCCCACCACCCATCTCCAGGAGGGACTCACTGGACTCTTTCCTGTTCCTCCTGGGCTCTGCCTCCATTTCCCCCACTGCCCCATCCTGTGGTGCTGGGGGGCTCACAGGGCCCTGTGCACCATCAGGGGACACACTGAGTGTTCCTAATCCTGGGGAGTCCCTGCTGTGCCTTTGGGACTTACTGAGCCCATGGGCCTCCATGAACTGGGAGGGGGCTTCCTGAGCCCCCCATCCTGCTACATCCCTGCTTCTGATGCACCTTCAGGGCTTCCTGAGCACTCAGGTACCCCAGCACCTTTGGGGTTCACCGACCCCCCCCATCCTGCTGAGCTATCAGGGCTGGCCAAGCCCCCAGGTCCCTGTGCACCTTTGGAGCTTGCTGAGCCCCTCCATCCTCCTGAGCCCCTGCTCCTGACGTGCCTCCATGCCCTTGGTATCCTCTGGAGAGGATCAGCCTGCAGACAGAGTGGGAGCCCCCCCAGCCACTGCTTCCCCCCGCCCAGGTAGAGACTGGGACGGGGTCCCCCATTCCTGGTGA